CGTCTGGACCGCCTTGCCGGCGATCAGGATGGCGACCAGCCGGAGGCCCTCCCATGGCGTGCCGCCCCGGCGGATGAACTCGACGAACCGGTCGATGAGCGACGGGCCGACGTACATGGCCGCCAGCTGCACGAGCCCCAGCGCCGCGATGAGCAGGAACTGCGGCCAGAAGGACAGCCACAGCGCGACGCCCACCGGGCTCCGCCACCCTCGCGCTGCCGCCGGCCAGTTGGACGCGAGAAGAGCGTACGCAGACTCGGCGCGGTGGTCTGGCGACACCGGCGGGACGTCGGTGTCGGCGAGGGACTCGTTGGCGTGCCCCTTGGAGACCAGCGGGTTGATCCAGCTGAAGGTCGCGCGCGAGAGGAACGACGCGGTCACGTACGGCGTCGCCGCCACCGCCGCGCTGGGGTTCTGGTCCTGTTCGGCGGCCTCTTCATCACGCGCTGTGCAGGTGGTGATGGCCACGTACGCGAGAGGAAGCGACACGAGCAGGCCGGCGAAGGCGAGGACGTCGTCGGGGAGGAGCGGCGAGCCGTCGGCGCAGCGGAGGGCCGCGGAGACGGAGAATAGCACGGCGCCGAGGGCGGTGGCGACCCAAAACACGCGGAGGTGCCAAGGGTGAGCGGAGGCTCGTTTCGCCGAGGCGAGCACGGTCCACGCGGCCGCGGCGTGCGCGGCGCAGTGGGCGGCGAGGAAGGTGCACCCCGCGACGCGCCACGGCGTAGTGCCTGCTGCCGGCAGGAGGAAGATCGCGAGTGCGAGGAGGACGACAGACGCCGCGGAGGTGACCGCGGAGGCACCGAGGGCAACGGCGTGCCGGCCGGTGGCCCGGACCGGCACGTCCGGCGTCGGTGAGGGCAGCAGCGGATCCTTTTCAGGGGACGCGCCGTTGGCGCCACGGCGGCAGAGGGCGGCGAGGACGAGCGATGCGGCGAGGAAGAGGAGGTCGATGGCGCCGAGAAGCGCGCGCTGCGGGCACGGCGAGAGGAGGAGGAAGGCGAGGGTTCCGGCGAAGGAGCCGGATGAAGACGGTGGCGGCGAGCACCCGATGGTGGGCAGCCACCACGGGAGCCCGCCTTCTCCTCCCATCTCGCAGGTTTCAGACGTGTTCGACCGGAGGAACGAGTGAACCAGGAGAAGTAGTTCTCAAAAAATCTAGGAGAAGTAGTTTTTTTTTTTTTGAGCAACATCTAGGAGAAGTAGTTTTTTTTTGAGAGAGAGAATCTAGGAGAAGTTGTTGGGTGGGAGAAATCGGAGAAGGTGGCGCATGCCCAGGAGATGGCCCAGAACAGTCAAACGCGACTGGAACTGGATCATTTTTTTTTCCTTCTTTTCCGGGGGCCGGGTTGTGCATCATCTTCTATGTCTAAATAGCTAGCCCCATTAATATATTTCTCTCAACATGCAAGTATGTCACATCATCAAGCAACATGCATGGTAAAAGGCCTACCACAACATGCATTCATGCATTAATATATTTCTCTCAACATGCAAGTATGTCACATCATCAAGCAACATGCATGGCAAAAGGCCTACCACAACATGCATTCATAGAATGCATGTTGTGGTAGGCCTTTTGCCATGCATGTTGCTTGATGATGCATTCATGCACATGAAAATAGAATGCATGTTGTGGTAGGCCTTTTGCCATGCATGTTGCTTGATGATGTGACATACTTGCATGTTGAGAGAAATATATTAATGGGGCTAGCTATTTAGATATAGAAGATGATGCACAACCCGGCCCCCGGAAAAGAAGGAAAATATCCACTCAACATGCAAACATATCTTACAATCTTAAGAAGTTGATCCCCACTAATAGCAATTCTCTCTACATGCACACTATCCACATCTGCGTTCAGTTTTACAAAAATCTGCCACATCAGCAGTGGTCAACAACCAAGCTGACATGCTCTGATTCTTTTTTTTTTTCCTGAGCGCAGTCTATTCCTATTCTCTCTGCACTCAGTTTTCTTTTAAATAGCAAACCATTACTATTCACGAGCGCAGCCCATTACTCCATCAACATGCAGCCCATTATTATTCACGATGGACAATACAGGAAACTGATGAATGCGTCCAAATTTTTGTGTGGTCGTCTTCCCTTCCTATTCCTGTGTCACAGCATGCACAATCTCTTTCCCTTCCTATTCCACCTCCTCACTTCTCACAAAGAAATAATATTGTAGGACCTCGCATATTTTCCTTTTTGTGTTCCGCAGATCCTGCTACCTTCTTGCCGACGTCCGGCCAGCGTCGGCCACAGCCCACAGGCACGCGCATGCTCAGTCCAAGAAGCAGTCGCGGCTTAGCAAAGGGAGCCCGTGGCATGGGCTGGAGAGCAGGTCTAAGCGCATGAGGAGGACGCCACGGTGCTACGGGAGCGGCCCGCCATGGAGGCCGGCGGTGCCGGGGACCAAGGAGCCGATCGAGCGAAGACAACCGCAGCGTGTAGGTGTAGATGAAACTCGAGACCGGCGGACCTTCCCCGCCATGGCAGCACTCTCTGCTTCGGAAGCCAAAAAGGGAGCAGCAGTGGCAGCCGCTCCCCGGCTCTTGCGCGCGGCGCGCACCGAAAGGAGTCAGCGGCGCCAAACACGCGCGCCAGGATCTCCGGATGTCAAGCACGACGTCCTCCGGCAGCCTCGCCAGCGAGAAGGCTTCCGGGTCCCTCGTCTCATCTCCCCCGCAAGGCCGCAACGCGACGTCCTCCGTGCTCCGGCAGACCGGCAGCCTCACGATGAGAGCGCCGCGCATGCGTGTGCATGCCGCTGCTGTTACTTGCATGCACACCTCTCTACATGCAGGCAAGCATTATTATTTATTTGCTACAGTATTTACCCTATCTACGTAGCCAATGGATCCTAGCTAAAGAGGCGCAGCAACGCCATACAGTATTTAATTTTTTTACTTTGGCATGCCATAAATTTCCCGCAGCAACGCGCGGGGTATCATCTAGTATTAGATATTTTACAATACATTAATCAAACACAATAAAGCATATGGATTTGCAATTTTAGTTTTCATAGTATCACTATTCACATTCCATAGAAATCACATATCATCGAAATGTATTGCAAATATTCCCGCAACAACATGATGGGTATCATCTAGTTTTACTGAACACTGCGTACGAGCGGATCATCGTCACCTCCGAGGCCAACTCGCTCATCTTCTCTCTCCTTTTTTTTTGCGGGGGAACTCGCTCATCTTCTCTAGCGACGAGTAGCTCCTCTACAAGATATTGTCGAGTAAATACATCGTACAGGTACAGTACCACCATGGCATTGAACCTTGATTCTCATCGAACATTGCCTAGACGCACTTTTTGTTTGCATGTACTATTCTTACACTGCTGCCCACGGTCTTCATCGGCAGCCATGAATCATTCATGATCAGTGCTGGTCGGAGGATTACTTCGGCCATCAAGCAGCCCAACCGCGAGGCGAGGAAGCCATGTTCCTATGGCAAGCCAGTGTCGACCTCACCGGCAGTGGCCGGCAGTGGCGGAGCTTGAAAGAAAAAACTGGGCGGACCAAACTAAGAATAGCACAATTATTTTTAAATTCTGAATGTGAAGCCTATGTTGCAACCTGTAAGATGCAGAGAACAATTGACTAGAAAAATCAGGCTCTCTAATGAAGCAATTGTAAACAAATCTATTCTTCTCTGAGTGTGAGTGACCTTGCCCGTGGCTACCAATGCTGCAATTTATACAAGACGTAAGGAACAAGTGAGTGGAAAAATATCTACCTATTAATTATCAACTGGCAAACTCTGGAATTTACCCAAGGAAGGTGAAGCGTTTCGTGAGGCGGGAGGAGTCGACGACAAGTAATGGCTGGCGGCAGCTTCATCACCTCATCCTGTTTTTTTTTTTTTTTTGCGGGATAAACTTCCGATCTACACGCACGTATGCAAGGGGTTGAAAAAGTACTCGCCGGTGGCAGCTCATCATTTGCTAATGTTTGCTTTGCCCTCTGCATGCACACATAGTATGTGTCTCCCTGTTGCACGCAAGTTAATGGTGTGAATCATGCAGGTTTGATCTATGCCCATCGTTAGAAACCCGATGTTTGATTATTACTCTGAGTATGCGTTGGATCTTCTTTTCAAAAAGAAATTATACTGATTTTTCTCTGAAGCAAAGCATATTCATACGACTGCTGAGCTAATAATTGAAAGCACCTAGCTAGGTACATATTGTTGGCTCACATCAACCCGAGATCGAAACCTTTTGTGAATTGGTCCTTGCAGTAGTTTTTTCCTGCTCGTACAATTTAGGTCGGGTCTGGTGAGGTGATAATCTTTGCCAGACAACATCGTCCGAATGTGGCCGTGGTGGAGCACGTCTACGACACGATGAGTTAGAATCAGAATCGAATCAAAAGCGAGGATAGTGGCTCGGATCAAAAAAGTCTCTCCTGTTTACAACACTAACTGCTCGCTCTTTCCTATTATATTATATTATACTTATATTAGTGGGAGGATGGAGGAAGGAGGATCATTATGCAAAGAAATTAATATTTGTTCAAAGTTCCAATTAGGCGTTCTCAATCCTGTCGAATATGAATCTTACCCAGCCAATTATGATTTATGGTAATTGACGTTGGCTCCATAGCGAAGCACCGATGAACCATGTAGTGGTTGTAGAAATATATGAGCCATTGAGCTTCCTTTCCAAAGGGCCAGTGCCTCAAGAAGGGTCTAATAGGGTGGACGATTGATTTCGGCTTCAGTTTTATTCGCATTGAGCGAAGGAGCAACGGAGGAGAAGACATGCCAAGGAGAGAATATTCGAGCCTCCTTTGAGAAAGTCATCTGGAAATACTAGAAGATATGGACATATGTGCGTTTGGGAGGGATGGGTTACGACATGCTTATTGAGCTATGACTGTGTGATTCTCCCGTTGCAACATATACGTGTACGGCCAGATGCCATTCTTGCTTTGGTTCAAACAGTGCATTTCAGGCAGCAGTACACATGCATGGTAGTCTCAATCAGGGACTGACAAAATGGTGATGACATATTGACATTGTGCTGCTAGCTAGTACACCGAGATACCGGTGACGAGCAAGAAGCAAACTCAACGAGCGTCGTGCCGTTGAATCCGGCGGTTCACGAGCTCGTCCATCAGCCGCCCGACGTCGCCGTACGATGATCCACCATTCTCCACCGCGTCCCTCGCTCTTGCGCTGAGGTCTCTGGCCTTTTTCTGTATTGCGTCGCCCTGAGCACCCATCACTCTCCTAACCGACTCGGCAATCACCGCACCGGCGATCACCGCATGAGCCTCTGTGAGCGACGCGTAGTCCTTGGCACCGACGCTGACCCCCGCCCCGAGTAACTCCACGACGAGCTTCTCATTGTGGAACTGGTCGGCGTGCCGCGGCCACGTCACCATCGGCACGCCGGCGCTTAGGGCCTCGAGCGTCGAGTTCCACCCGCAGTGGGTCACGAAGCAGCCCACGGCTGGGTGGTTCAGGATGAGCACCTGCGGCGCCCACCCACGGATGATGTACCCACGCGAAGCCGTCGCGAGGCCTTCCGCCATCCAATCATCTGAAGATGTTGTGGCGCCGGTGGCGGAGATGACCCACACGAAGTTGCTGCCCGAGAGATCGAGGCCGCGGGCCAGCTCCTGCAGGCAGAGTTAAAAATTTCAACGAAATTTTGATGTAATTTCCGAAATTTCGCATATTTTAGTGGGGTCCAAAATATTTTTAGCCCCGAAATTTCAAGACAGATCCAAACTAATTCCAAAATAAATTTAAATTATGTTAGAATTCCTTCAAATTAAGCGAAATTTTAAATATCAAAATCCGAAATGATTTTTGAAATATGCAAAATTTCCGAAATTATTTTGTTTTCGAAATTGAAAACCTTGCCTGCAGCTGCTCCGGCGAGAAGGTGGCCAGCGTACCAAACGCGACGTACACCACCGAGCCAGCCGGCTTGCCGTCGAGCCACTGCAGGCAGCCGTCCGCCTCCGGCGAGAGCGCGTCGGTGCCCCTCGACGCCACGCCCATGCTGCCGCTGGCGAGCGAGACCGGCCCCACGAGCCACGCTCGGCGTCCAAGCGTCGTGCGGTAGTGCTTGACGTAGTCCGGCTCCAGCTCGCAGAAACTGTTGAACAACTCGCCGTAACTCCTCTGCTCCGTGGCGTCGACACCTCGGAAGAAGGCCCACTCTTCTGGCCGCTTCATCATCTGGCTCCGCCTCATCTCCACGCGGTGCGGCAGTCCCGGCAGCGCCACCATCACGGCCTCCGGATCACTCTCACCGTCGGTGGAGGAAGACGATGGAGACTGCAAGTTGTCCAAGTCCGACGGGTTGCAGTTACGCAGCATGCTGTGGAAGCACGAGCAGGCGAACATGCTGCTGCCGGTGAAGCCGAGCCGTGGGACGCCGTGCTCTGCGGCGACGTCCACGGACCAGTGGAAGAGGCTGTCGGACACCACCGCGTCCAGGTCGGCGCGGTGATCGGCCAGGGACCGCTCCAAGGGCTCCCGGAGGAGCCGCACCGCCTGATTGAACATGTCGCGCTCGTCCTGGGACGCGAGGCCCATGCCGCTCTCGGCGCCCGGCGGAAGCCCGACGTCCGGGAAAGGAACGACGGAGATATCGATCGACGGTGAAGTAGGGTTGTCTTTGTTGGCGCGATCGACCACGGAGCGGATGATGGAGGCTTGGAACGGCGTGGTGAGGATGGTGCACCGGACGCCACGACCCGCGAACAGCGCCGCCATGTCGGCCATCGGAATGAGGTGGCCGGGGATGAGGAACGGGAAAAAGAGTATGTGCAACGGCGGCTCGCCGTCCTTGACAGGCGCCATGGCTGCGCCGGCCGGTTCTTCTTTGGTGGTTTGCATGCTTATGATGGCGTACTCCTCTCCCGCCCGTTTCTCTTTAATTTATAGGCTGTGGGCGCTAGAGTGGTGATTACTACGGACAACAACTCACATCACATCGATCGGATGCCGTGAATGGCAATCAACTCAAAAGGACATTTGAATTTTTTGCTCCTTTTTAAAACCATTCCAGTTAATCTTATGCTTGCCACGTTCTATCATAAAATTATTATGAATATGTGAATATCAAAAGAGATACTCTGTGGCATCCAAATGTAGATGCCATTTAGAAAAATCAGCATTATATTCCGTATTCACATTATAATAACTTGATCTGCTTGTGTTGCTCTATCAAATGCTGTCACTTATATTACTCTAGCATTTTTTCCCTCCCGCATGTTTCACCCGTTGTGATCTCGCCCTATCAAGTGACGTCACTTATAATAACTTGATCCGGTTGTGTTGCTCTATCACATGTTGTCACTTATATTACTCTAGCATCTTTTTCCTCCCCGCATGTTTCACCCGTTGTGATCTCGCCCTATCAACTGGTGTCACTTATAATAACCTGATTTGGTTGTGTTGCTCTATCAAATGTTGTCACTTATATTACTCTAGCATCTTT